GCGAAGTCGTGCTATTCGATTCTGACCCCTTCATATGACGGACCTAGCGCGACTTTTTGAGGTGCCACACTGTTCCCATGATCCTCAGAAGGAATCTCGGGGCAGGCCCAACATTGTCGGAGTAGGTGCCTGAGATGCGTAATCGTGGTAATATGGTATTAATTACTGTGAATAAATAATCTCTAGCTAGGACCATTCATGGTCTGACTGTGAGCAAACTACGCTCGCAGTTCGGCTTGAGTTGGGGGGGGGGCGGGAGCGAGGCTACTTCATTCATACTTGATAAGAGTCTACAGGTCTCACCAAGGTGAGACTTGTAGTTTTGAAAAAGAAACTAGCAAAAGTACAGAATGCCCTCCCCTCCCTCCGTTACGGCTAACATCGCTGGAAGTGCGCATCGAATCCCGGCCTGGCTTCCATTGGTAGTGGATAACAGTGGTTACGTTCTTTCTTTTTCCAACTATCATGTGTGTTTTTTATTGCAATTATGTGATGGCTTGTCTGATCTTCAGGCCAGCTTTCTTCAAAATGAATGAATAAGTAAATAAGTAAATAAATAGCAATTCCACGTACACAGGTCCCGTGGGCGTATCTAAGCTTACCATTGTCCACTCATTGACGTGTCTTTAGACGATAAGGGAGTTAATGAAGGCGGCAATTTGAAGGCCTGACTCCACCCATAGGATCACAGAAGACTGTACTTTCGGACTTTGATCCGGCTTGGGATACGTAGATTTGGCGCTGATCTTCGTTTGACTATTAGTGGAGTTTTTTTCGCCAGTCAGGCAAAAATGCCATTACCGGAACAGCTGCATAGCGTACGGTCCAAGGTAGTGGATGGTGATGGCGCATATCTCTAGTCTTCAGGCTGGTTCGCTATTGAGATATTTACAAAAAAGTCGGGGGATAGAACTTATGCAACAACCTAATACATGATCTTGTGGCATGCTTCGCTTAAGCAAGCGCGGAAAACGATTGGACGCCTGCGCGCAAACCTAATGTCCGCTACGCGCCCTTATCGCATTGACACCACTGAACAAGTCTGAAACGTTTGTTAGGAATTTTTGGCGCAATTTCGCGAACGGGCGGCGCAGCGATTTTAGCTACTTTTGCTGCTTAACGATTCCAGTTTACAAGTCTCACTTTGGTGAAACGTGTGAACTCTCGTGACGAGCCATCGTGGTGAAACTTGTCTACTCTTGTATGCTCATGAAATAGATCTCTTACGAGGGAAGGCGTCGTCAGTCGAAGTGGCCATTGTCATGAGATCGTAGCCACAGAACTGGTTTGGACGCTGATCTCGAATTGCCTTTTAGAAGTTACAGAACGATCATGAAAGCGAGTATGAAGCTGTTCCACACTCGTTTAATATGCAACAGGTCGTTGGATCCGGATCCCTGCTTGGTAACTTTTTGCTTCTGTTGGCAAAGCTGGCGAAAAAGTGGATGTTGGCGTCACTTGCTGACATTAGCGCTCTCCTTGACATTGTCGGAAAAACAGTTTGTGTCGCTTACTGGCCTTAGTGCCTTACTGTGCCTAGTTGCTCCAGGAGAACTGTTTTGGATTGAGTGCCCTTGGCGCGCAAGTGCGAGTGCCGTTCCGCTACGAGTGCCATATCTTGTTATCGTAGCCGAACTACGCCTAGGTGAAGGTTATCGCTAAATCTGCAATTGGACCTGACTCGGAAGAGAAAGCACCATGGGTCAGTTCAGTGACTGTTCACACCTATTCGCTGCAGATACATCCCTGCAAGCAAAGACCCGTCTCCCTCTTCTTACGCATTCATTTTATTACTGCACCCAATTTTCCTGGTATCTAGAAGCAAATTCTGTCCAAAGACCAGCAATCGACAAGAGACTGGCCCTGGGACTATTGGTGACCATTCGATCAACTGCTACCGCACTTTTCATAGTTAGTTCAAAACCTCACTTCTGGCTAGAAATCCCTTCTGCCAAGGGTAGTTTTGCTTCTGAACACCAGAATATGCACCCAATCTTGGCTTTGAGTGATGTCTAACCTTAAAAAGAGACATTCCCCAGCAAAAGTGCAAAACAAGCCTCCCCTTTCCGCAGGGTAAAATTGAAACGAACCCTTCATACTATATCCGCGAAAGCAAGACGCGTACCATCAGCTCATGCACCGTTGAAGGTAATGAGCTTCCGGCTTATTCTGCGAGGGTCCGCAACGCGCTCGACTCTGTTTCCTTCATTTTTAATTCTAAAAAAACCTTCAATATTCCGTTCAGAGAATCGTTCTGCAAATTTCGAAGGCAGATTCGAGATCAGCGTCCAAAACCACGTCTAGTGAGCTACATCTCCTTACAAATGGCCACTTCGACCTGACGACCTTCCCTAGTTAGTAACGTTACATGTCGACGAAGAAATAGCAAAAAATCAAAAATGCCTCGTTGCACGAACTACCCACAGAATTTTTATACTGTACTTTGGACTAATCTGTTAGATATCTCAATAAATAATATGAGAATTGGAAAGTGAATTGTTTTGTGATGGTTTCTGACGTTCTGCGGCCTGTGTTGATTTTCTATGGCTTTGTTTTCTGTACCATGTGATTTATAATTCCGTTCTTCGAAGTTTTTTATCCTTATCCGCCAACGTCCAGACATTAAACTCGTTCAGTTGTGATAATTGTTGTTTATCGCCGCAATTTGCGCTCCAAATGTTCTGGCAAGAATCCTGAGTCACGGAAAGAGCCTTGGCCCGGGCGGGGCTCGAACCTGCACTTCATGTTCTTTAAGACAAAAGCGCTATCCGTTACGCCACCAAGGCCTTCTTACCTCTGCTTGATTCTTTTATGCCCTAGCCTTATAGCAAGCACACGATCAACGATCTCGGCTAAAATGGCTCACCAGCTAGCCGAGATCGGCGGCGAGTCCGCAAGGCTGCAGTTGGGTTCTCGTCCAACGAAGGGGCGTTCCTCAGCGTACAGCATCATGCTCCCTCCCACCTAAATTAGAGTCGCGGTACGCCCCCTCCCCCTTCTCCATTTTCTACCTACCGATTTCCCACATTTTCCAATCCAGTTTTTCACCCAAAAGATTCCCGTCGAGCTGGGGAAGGGGGGGGGTGGGCTACGTAGCCAATATGAGATGGAAAATTTTTTGAACTGTCCTTCCTACACTTCGAGTGAGGGGGGGTGGAGAGATTACAACCCTCTATAGTTTCACGGGATGGGGTGATGTTAGATGCACACGAGCGACCCCTGCGTTCCACGTCACGCGGCGTGCCGTTACGAGAGCACGCTGTCCGTGGGAAGTGCGGAGGTCTGAGGGCAATTACACACGCTCTGCACTCCCTGACAACGATACTGCGCTCATAACACGCCGGCGCGCTATCTACTCACTCTTCCGTCTAGACCATCACCGATTTAATAGCGGCTGACGCCCTCAATCAGCTGATTTCTGCTGTATTCGTCTTCTGAAAGCTGGAATTATTTTTTGTCCGGCTTCAGTAAGAGAAGAAAAGTATGTTGTACCTAAATAGATTTTTTTCTGCGTAATTTCGGTCAGCTACATCGAAGTTGAATGAAGCCGTTCAAGAAAGTTCAAAAAAAGCCAAAGTAATGAGAAGGAACCAGTTTTAAAGAGAAATGCTGAGGCTAAGTGCTGAAATCATGCAAAATGAAATCTAGCTTCAGTAAACAGACATACCTTTTCCTACTAGAGTCGAGCGAAGAGCGAAGTATAAGTTCAGCTTCTAGAAGCTGAATACAGTGAAAATCAGCTGACTGGGCGCGCCATTATCGATCGGCGAGAGTCCAGACGGATGAGTGAATAGATAGATAGTGTATCAAAGCTGAGCGCAAATCAGGAAGCGCTGAGGTATGCATTCCCCAGCGTAGTCGTCGGGCCGCTCGCCAGCGTGGACGTGGGAACGCCCCTTAATCCAAAGGGAACCCGACTGTATATGATTTGAAGTTGTTTTGATCATGAATAGCTGGTGGTGTAATGGTTAGTTCACTAGCCCGCTAAGCATGATGTGCTGGTTCAGGTCATTGTGGGTCCAGGTCTTTTACTCATAACTTCGCAATATTTGTGATATTCGAATTGTACACAGAATACCTTAGTACTGCTTATCCTAAACATTGCTTGCAGCAGGGTTCGGTGCTGGGCGGGCCAACAAGATGGTGGGTGGCCCCTCACGGAAGACCACCGTATCGTCGGCTCCGTCGCCAGCCCAAATACGTACATATAGTAAAAATCATGAAATGGATTTCGCGAAGATATACCTCGCCATGCAAAAGGGTCACAAGGTTAGTTGAATAAGATCTGATTTATGAAATCTTATGAAAGTATGACCCTGCAGGTGTGCAAGATCAATGTACTGAAGAAATGGGATCCGGCATACAAGTTGCTTACTCTAAACATGGATACTCGTCAGTTGTTTCTCACAAAACTTGAACAAACGGCTGTTAGGTAAGTCTTCCCCTGTTCCGCGTCACTTCTGGGCTTGTAAAAGAAGGGGGTGGATGGAGTACCCTTCTGCAGTCTGGTCGGCGAAAAACTTGCTCGATCGCCTTTATAAGCGGCTCGAAGAAGATGGGGGGGGGAGGGGTAGCCGAGAGTTATGCGCTGAAAATGCTTATTTCTGCTTTTGAAACTGACTTTCCATTGAGACGCGAATCGGGTCACTGCTA